AGAATGAATTTCGAAAGATAACTCGTCTCAACATAAAATTGTAACCCTTTATAAGGCCTGATTCCACGACTGCGAAATTCTTCGCGAGAAATTATATCTGCAACTGGCTGCAGTGAGTATGGCTGCATGGTTGCAGTGAGTGGAACCGACTTTTACTCACTGATGAAGTAAAAGCTTTCGCATTTCGCCGAAAAGTGCGCTCGTAGAACTAGGTCTTCATACACGCTTAGAAGTTTACCGAGTTTCCAGAGCATCACATCTCAAATGGATATGGTTTCAAGATCGCCACTTGCACTGGTAACCTACTGTATGCGTAATGTGATCTATGCTTTGCTTTCCTAGGCGAACCCAGTACTTCAATGTGGACTAACAATCGAATGCAGGACAATCGAGGCATGGGCCACCCTTATCCTCCACAACCTTTGCCATCAGCTAATACCCCATGGCAAAGTACAGGTGGAGTCCTGCCTGATGGCAGGCAAATGCTCGCTGGTTGGAGGCCACCCACAGCTATGGCTAATGGTGTAACATCTGCAACTCCGGGAACGTCATTGGAACAAAAACGAGAGTCTGTTGAAGCGGACCAGATTGACAGCAATAATTACAGAACGCACGAATTGCCCAATGAGAGAAAAGGTATTGAAGATACGGATAAAGATAGCAGTAAGAGTGGTGTTGGTGAGCATAAGGGAACAGGTATGTAATAGTATTGTCAAACTCATCATGGCTTCGATTCCCTGAACACTTGGAAAAATAGTGAAATCCATGCCATGGAAATCATATTTGCACCACTAATCTATAGTATATCCAACTTTTCCATACAATAAACATGCCAGTGCAAGCTTCTTTGAATAAGGGGAATTTGTTCGCGGCAATGTATCGCGGACAATTTGTTCGCTAACCCACTTGAAATCTGACTTTCCATTATTCCCACAATCTTTTTGAATGTTTACGTTGATTTTGTTGCTGTATTGGCGTGTGCGTATGTATGTTTGCGAGTGAATGAATATGTTTTGAGTTGAATTACTTCTATTGTTCTCTTTCGTTGTATATCGTAAACAGTCCACTTTCAGCAGTTTGTATAAGTAATAGTATGGTTTCGAGTGTGATTTGGGAACAACATGCACAACGTGAGCTTTTGAAAGACAATCTTGAAGTCTTTGAAAGACTCACGAGTGTATGTTTATCCAAATTGCTCGAGAAACTATACTATTACTTAACATCACATGCGAAATAGACAATTTTAATATAAACAATTTTATTAGCTTGGTTTTAATCAATTAATTATTTAAAGTGTGTCGAAAGAGAAATATAGACGATATGTCTTCGAAAAGCACTGTATTTCGAAAAAAATTGCACTGCTCTAGCTAATCAGGATTGAGAAATTTCATGTATATTATTAACCTTGTTAGGTGAAAATCAATTGTAAACTCTCCCTGTTCTACATGCTTTATATACACCGTTATATTTCGAACATTGCACAATGAGGGATTTACAAAAAATACGAAGGGGTTTAATCATATATTACAGTTTATTTCATAATGATTCAGACGTTAAATAAGGTTTCCAAGATTTATTTGATATTAATTCATTGCAGGTCTAATAAAAACTCCCGGGAATCCGCCGAGTGAAGACGATCTCCGTTTTCCATTTATCATGAAGCAAGGTAGACAACAGAATGAGCCCAATCCATATCCGTCCATACAAACACATAATCCCGCAATGACCAAATTACACAATCCTAGTGTTTTAGAGGGCGTCGGTAGTCCAGTTGGAATAGAAAGTCAGCGGGTTAAAACTCCACCAGTGACTATTGAATCGGGTGAGGGGAAAGTTTTCGTTAACCTGACCTCGAAAGTTAATCAACCACGCGTCGGAGAAAAACGGAGCAACCCGTATAGTGTTTCCAGTTTAATGGCCAACGACGAACAACGTACGAAGCGTTCCGAACACGAACAGTTAAAATTTTCGGCATTGTTACAAGAAATGTCTCAAGGTCGACGACCAGAGCATTTAGTCAATCTTCAAACAACCGATGCATCCGCGCAGTTCATGGACTTAAATAATACCCGCAATCAACTTTCGTCTTCATTAATTAGACAGTCGCAGACTGAAAGAGGAGCTGGGCTTGGAACCCCAGGAGCGTCCCAAGCTCAATCAATGGGTGCTAGTTACCCCAAGCCTGCACAGGGAATTCAATCACCGCTAAACTGTCCTACTGGTATTTCGTCGTTAATGAACATGAGATCCCCGGGGAACATGTTAAACCAAGAAAGAACTGGGTTTAACCCACGAACTATGTACCCGGGGTATCCTTCGCACGGAGAATTTCAACGTCAGCAAATGATGCTATTACAGCAGCAGCAGCAACAACGACAAATGATGCAACGTGAGAATTATCATATGGCAGGTTCAATGATGGCAAATGGTATACCAAGAAACATGCCACCCGAATATGCTTATTATACACAGAGACCGATGTTTGGTGCAATGATGGAGCAGTATAAAAATGGTACAAGACCGCCTACTATTGATGGTAAGTTGGAAACTAGGCTTGAGAAAGAGAGCGAGAAATATGGGCTTGTATACAGAAAGCTAACACAATGCAATTCTGGTCAATTCCTAATAAATCATCTGTTCAAACTGAACACAGAAATACACGCTTCTGTAAATTGCTCTCTTTGGCTTTGAGCCTCGTTTTCGTGATTGAGACGTTGGTCTTTGATTAATTATTTAAAGTCAGTAAGAATTGCTCTTTAAATATAATCCAATAGGATGAAATGACGAAAAACAGACAAATTAACAATGACATGTCATTGATCAAAAATCTTGGCTATTTTTATTTACACGCTTAATCGGAAGAACATTTGTGGAATAATAAATGCAAAATTCTTCGTTTTACCGCCTGATTTTTCACATTTAAACATGTACTTTTGGAAAGAAGCGTTATTGTTTCTGAAATTCTGTATGGAAGAGCCTGGGAACGAGGTTGGAGCCAAGAACGTATTCAAGACGTAATTATCGAAAAGGTGTATTAAGAAGAATCAGAGTAAACTTTTTAATTTCAATTTTTTTTTAGATTTAACTAGCAAGAACTCGCGAGTGTCGTGACAAAGACTGATATGACCTGCTTTCATTCGTCTCCAAGCATCTCGCGTGTCGATAACACAATGCAGTTGACCAGAATACGTCATCCGTCTATGCAAATTCTGACGCTAACAGCGAATCAAACATTCACAAATACATTCAAGTTTTCTACACAATTGATTTATAAATCAATCTTTTAACATCTTTGGGTAATAAAATATTCAGAACTAGGTAGAGTTGTACATTTATTGTTGAACTTCTTCCTGTTCCCGTTGTTAGCAACTCGTCTGGTTCGCTATGCTTGTAAATGAATACAGACTAGAGATTCAATTCAAGAAAGTTCAAAAGATGCGAAATATTAATAACATTCCAACGATCGGGTCCCGACCATTGGAATGTAAGCCTGCGCAGAACATATGCGCAGAACGGACTTTACATGGTCTTTAAAGGACATTGACAATAAAAAATCAGTTTGCCTCGTTCAAAAAAACTCTTAAAATTATATATTAAACTCTGTTACCGATTTGTCATATCTTGCTCAGTTATCGAAACATTTAGATCGAGATTAATGAGCTGTCCGTCATCTTGGACTAATTCCTGACCTCATCGATCATTAACTATGGTTTTGATGACATCAGGATATAAAACTACTCTAAAATGACGGGAGTAACAATCCAAAATTGAAATGTTAATAATTTCTAAGAGTTCCAGAAACGAAGTTTTGGACTCGTATTGATCGCTTACTCTCAAGATTAGTGTGACCTCTCTTGACGTGACATGCGCATCCTCAATAATCCAAGATGGTGAACAGCTCACTTTTTTCAGTCGAAATATTTTGAAAACTAAGCAAGATATAAACAATCTGTAATATATATAGTTTTAAGAGTTTTTTTGTTTATTCTATCCATACCCAATATCTATTCTGTCTACACCCAAGCAATCTATATTTATCAAACGGTTTCAAAATTATCTACTTTTTTATAGACCCTGTAGTGGCTTTATTTGAAACTTGGTACTGAGCTAATTTGCTGAGTATCACCAACCTCGTACCCAGGTTCTCAATCTTCGCTCCTACCTCGCTTAAATTAGACCCTGGTATCGGCTGGTCACGTGACCCGTCGTATTTTGGCGGATTTGCTCAATAGGGAAAGGATAGTACAGTAACTGAGATGTTTTGTTTTGTAATGTTATTTTAACAATATTATTATTAGTATTAAACGAATTTATATACAGGATAAAAACTCCATCAGTTATGTGAAAAAATCACAAACTGTTATTAACAGAGGTCCTGTTTACTAATAGTCTAAACCTAAAAAGCTAAAAGTCCATCTTTATAATTATGTATACCAACATCAATTTTACGATTAAAAAATTAATTAGAATAGAAAAGTTAAAAAAGTCGAAGAAGTCATTCGTAGGAACTAAATTGCTAAGTGCTTACTCAGTCCCTTCGTAAAAAGTCGCAAAGTGTCAGATTTACGAATTTCCAGAGGTAATTCATTATAAAGTTTTCCTCCGTTGAAGTAGAAACCCTTCTTTGCGGTTTCAAGTTTCACTTTCGGGAGTTTTATACTAAAACCCAGATTTCTAGTAGCTACTTTAGAATCAATCAAAGTGAAATAATTTAAGAAGTTTTGACACACATTGTTTAAACATCTAAAAGTCAATATGCAGGATTTCTTCTTTTGGATTGTTTCTACCGAAGGCATTCTATTTGATGCTTGTTCCTCTGACGTTCCAAATATGATTCTAGCCGCTCGTTTCTCAAAGCTCTCGAGCCGTTTCTTTTGTGTGGTCGTAGAGCACGTACACACTAAAGAACAATAGGTAAGTACAGGAATTACCATAGCCCGATATATACCAGAGATGATTTCGTAGAAAGGAAAGAGCGAGTTTTTGCCAGAAGTTTAAGATATCCTGAAGCTTTCTTAAACGCCTTATTCACGTGATCATTCAT